GGTATATTTGACAACTGTAATCCAGGGTGCGTCATTGGTGAAGGCAATGCGCAATTCACGAGGGAATTGTGAGATATAGGGCCAATAATGTTTGCAGATCATTTGTCATTGTAAATGGGTAAATATCTTCATTCTCATTCAGGTCAAATGGAAGCTGAAATGGTGAGAGACAAAAGAAGACAAACAACAACAACGCAAAAGAAAACAAGTGGAGTACTTAGGGAGTGATCAATATGTATATATCCATTTATATTCTGTTTAGTAATTATAGTTATTTTGGTGCACTAACTAACTATCCCCGTGATGCTAACTTTTATATTGTGTGAACTAATATTATTGTCCTGTGTAAAAATGTCTATCATGTACTTCCAATAATATAAAAATTTATAATTGTAGTTTGTTGTAACTACACGTTTAATGAACTTAAAATATCTATGTTGGACGAAAAAGTGGGTGTAGGATTCAGATGCAGAAGTGCACTGTCATCTTTGAGCAGTCTGGTGACTGAGGAGATGAACACTGCGAGTGTGTTTGCATCGCGCACATCAGCTGGTAGCCTATTCCAAATGACTGAAAACTTATTTAAGAAGAAATTATACCGCATGTAAGTCTGACAATGCTCTATAGCAACTAGGTTGTGATGATTTCTAAGATTGTAACTGATGACAGCGGTAGGTTTAATTATTGGCTCGGAGGAGTGCACGAGCAGATTAGTTAGCTTGTAGTAAAAAATTAGGTTTAGCTTAAGACGTCTTTTCCAGAGTGGTTCTAAACTTAGTCTGTCGCAACGTTCATAGTATTGGAGACCACTTTCTAAACCAAGAATTCTTAAGGTGAATTGCCGTTGCACTCCTTCTAACTTAAGCTTGTCAATTTGTCTGAGTCCGCTAAGAATAAACGGGCAGTATTCTAAAATAGGTCGGACACATACTTTATATAATAAAACCCTAGCTTCACAACAAAAGAAATTGCGAGTTATGCATCCTAGGAGCCTTCGTGTTTTACGTCTGGCATAATCAGTTTGTTCAGAGAACGTTAGGTTACTAGAGTATCTGATACCGAGATCTACGACTGAGTTGAGCTTGGCTAGTTTACGCCCATTTATTTCAAGATTCAGGTCAAGGTTACTGTTTCCGATACAAATCCAGCCGCATTTATCAATGTTGAACTTTAGACAGGATTCAGTACACCATGTTGCGAGACTACTTAGTTCAAGATGTACTTTATTTACCATATCGCTTAGTTCATGAGCGTAGCAGGAGTAAACGACTTTGAGGTCGTCAGCATATAGGAATGATTTACCTGAGGTGAAGCAGTTGCAAATGCTGTTGGTGTATACTGTAAATAAAAGTGGACCTAGGACACTACCTTGCACAACCCCACTTGTGATCTGCCTAGGATGAGACAATACTGATCCAACCTTGGTTATTTGTACCCTATTGCTTAGAAACGATTTTAACCAGCTAAGTAATGGATTGCGAATCCCACATGAATACAGCTTCTCAAAGAGAATACTGTGAGATACCATGTCAAATGCCCTGGATATATCGAAGTAGAGAACAACAACTAGCTTACGTGCTTCGCGACTACTAGTGATGCAGTTGAAAAAGTCGAAGTGGCAAGTAACGCAAGACCTATTTTTGAGAAATCCGTGTTGAGACCTTGTAACAAGATCTTCCTTAAGTAGATAGTCTGACAACTGATCTTTGACGACTTTCTCCATGACTCGCGAGACAACTGGGGTTATATTTATAGGTCTGTAATTGTGGACGTTTGCCTTATCACCGGATTTATAGTGTGGAATTATGAAGCTAGTTTTCCACTCATTAGGGTAAGTGCCAGTGTCCATAGATATGGAGAAGAATTTAAGAAGTAGTAGGGGTATATCACACCCACTGTTTTTGAAAATTATAGAAGAAAGGCAATCTGGTCCCGTGCTAGTGGAAGGTTTCAGGCTTTTAACTGCTTGTTCTATTAATTGGTCGGTGAACACTATGCTTCCGAGGAAAGAGCTAGTAAGGGGGCCGGTTTCACCAGGAATGTGCGTTTCTAAACTGAAGTTTGCAAACCACTCACTGAATATTTCACAGATGGTGGCAGGCACATTGTAGATAACTTTGTCATGAAGTAAATAGGGGATGTCCCTCGTCGACTGCATTCGCTTTTTAAGAAGTGTTGTTAAATTATAAAATTTGGAGGTACTTTCAAGTGCCCTTAACTCTTCGTCGAGGTCCTTTTGAGAGCGTAGGCGCTTGATAGATTCAAGAGACTCATGGATTGAGTGCAGTAGTGATATATCCTTAGTGGAATAGTACTGTTTCTTCAACTTCCTTAACTTATTGCGGCATGCCCTCGGAATGTATTCAGCTTGGTGTCTACTTAATTTCACTACCCTCTTGGGAGCGTTGGTACATGCTCTAGTATTTCTCCGATAGCCATATCACTCGTTTCAGGGCTGTTAGGGGCTCTGTACATACATCCCACGAGAATTTCATTTTCATTCGTGTGGATGCTTATCCACTTGGATTCTGGGAGTTTGTCGATAGTTGGGTTTGTAAGAGTATTGGAGTCAGTGGATTTAAAAGCATATATTAGATACCTGCCTCCTCTTTTGCCGACTCTATCATTCCCGTGGATGTCGTGGTTATCAATTATCAGCTTTGTGTCGGGTATATCCTTAGTTAGCCAGGTCTGTTACCAGGATCAGTGGTGGCTGTTCCATGTATACCAAGCTGCGAACTGAAGTTATCTTTTTAAGGATAGATCGACCATTTAAGAGCATAATTTTCGGAAAACCAGGGTTGTTGGGGGAGATAGTTAGTAAGTTTTCTTGTTACTATCCCTAATTCTTGGTTGGTTACGTTAATTTCGAATTCTCAGAGGAGTAAGTGTCAGCATGTCAACTAGTCCCTGAACAAATTCTGCTGCAAGAAGGACTACTGTTTGCTTCAGCCGAAAAAATTTCTGTCGCATATATTGATTTCTGGCATCAATGCGTGGGTATCTGGAATCATTCCTCAGGATTAGATAGTCTGTTTCACTGTTCCGGTTGTAATTTACACGGTCGAAGTACCCTGTTTTTGGATTGTTTTGGAAGTAGTGCGTGCTAGGTCTTTCATAGTTGCACATTTGCTGACTCATTTCGTGCGTGTATGTAGAAAGAGCGTGATCCAATCTATACCTGTTATGCCGATGGGGCTCTACGTATCTAATACGAAGATTCGGAAATACATTTCCGTTCATATGGTAACTACTGCTGTCCCGTTTATTCGCCCAATACCGCTTGCGTTGAAGTGGAGTCAGTTACTAAATATATAAAATAGCATTCTAATAGTATTCCGGAGAGCTTTCTTCTGGCTACAGCAAATTTTCCCCATAGCGTTTCTGAAAACCCAATCCGATAGCTTTTTAAAAGTTGGAGGTGTTAGGTGATCGTAAACGTGAATTTCATAGACGCTTCTAAATTGAAAACAGGAGTAAGACAATGATGTCTATTATCTTTGATATTCCTAAATGTGATGAACTGGATTTCGCCAGGCACCGTAACTGGGGAACCACTAGATAGGAATACGTTGTACCAATAAGAGGACTATAGAAATTCTGGTATTCGCGTATGACTTATGACTAACTTACCATAAGCTCGAAAAATTCCCGGCAGAAACCGATAATATGTGATTAGAGGTAACAAGGACATAGAGAAGAAAGAGATGATGAAGTGAAGCCAGCCAGTAGCAGCAACAACGAGCACCAACCACCATCATCAGGAGTTTAAAAGATGTGCCCTCTTTCTCTTATCTAGGTAGCCAGCATTGTTTTAACTACAGGAGGAGCGCATTAAGATATCATAGCCTTGATATGATTATGAGCAACAAAATGTGCTCAAAGCGTTGCCAGCAAATATTACTGTATAACACTGTGAAACTTTATCAAAATAAATTTTGCCCACAATGGAATTATACTCTACCACAATGCACAAGTTCTATTCCTATATCGATTCTTCTATATGGGTCAGAATATTAGGGAGCGCGTCTCGAAAATTATTTCTTGCATTCTGCAGTGGACTTTTGTCAACAGATGGCTCCACATTGAAGACCAGCTGACCAGGCAGAAATAATTAGCAACAATAGACTGAGACAGAATCAATGAAGAACCTACTTCTCAACTAATATGCAGGAGAAAACAGGGAAGTGCTGGGCATATGCTGGGGAGACCAGCGAGAAACATGGCACGCCAGGCCATCACTCGAGTGGAACCTGAGTAGGAAACGACGACTGGGTCTCCTAGGATGAAATGGAGACTGTGAAAGGAGTTAGTGAGAGGTTATGGGCAGTCGTGGGCCCACTTAAAGAGGACAGCAGAAAATAGAGCGAAAAGGGGAAACGTTTTTGAGTCCCTTTGCTTCAATCGAAACCCAGGAAAACACCGATAATCACAAATAAATAATAATTAGCAGAACGCCTGTTCTTAACTGAGATCAAATATCCGTCATTGAGATTCAGCCGGCACTCTGCTACCCGATCGCAACACAATTTCCATGAGTTAAAATAGTAATTTATTTCCCACTTATAAAAACCACATAAATGGTTGAAGTTCCTGTTTATTATGGTTTTTACTGGTAGAACACACTTTTGTGTGTTCTCAGTGCGAGGACAGAATTCGTGTAGTCATTCACACACTGCCGTGTGTCTCAGTATTTTGAATGAATAACCAATCAATTGGAGGAACCCATTTCGAGTATTGTCTGCTGAGTACACACGCTCGAATAAATGAAAAAGGATTTCTATTAAAGGCATGACATTTGAGATTTAAATTTAAAATGACGAGAAGGAAATTTAAGTTTTGGTTATTAGACGATGATAGTATTAATTGGTGAAGAAATCACACTGTTTTACAGCTTTGTTAGGTGAAAATAAGTCCATACTTTTGCCAGATCTTTTGTTCCGGGAAATGTATAGTTTCTCCTTTCTGAGAAGTATATATCTATTTACTGTAGCAAAAGTATGTGTGAACGCAGCAAGGTATCAAAAATACACATGGAAAAGCAAATCAAAATGTCTGAGACTCGAAAATCCTGCATATCTGTTCGTCTGCTTCTTATTTATGTTTGACTCTTTATGCAACTACAGAGACTGGTTAATTTCCGGGGTGAATTCAGTGATTGACAAAAGGCAGTTCATTGGTGCTCTAACGTCATTAATTAATGGAAGATGGAGGAATTTCACCTAGCAATTCTTTTGTGAATTATTTTTGACAAAATTGTGATATACTTTTTCTGGGTTGATGGGAACTCTTATTTTTCAACATCGCATGTTGTTGTCCGAGTCATGTGATCTGACTGCGACATACTCTCAACATTAGTTTGCCCGGTACGTTCGAACCAGGTGACGCTTTTTGCACGTGTTTTCGTTTATATTCATTTATTGCTTACTGTTGATTAATCTTTAATAACGATGGGCCGAAATTCTAAAAAGAGTGTTCGTGTGAACACCAGTAATTTAGAAAATAGCACCAGCTCGTCTAATAACACATTACCACCCCTTATTATTAGTAGTTCACCCAACAGAAAAGACTCGAACATAACTCTGACCCCTGTAATACAGGTGGAAGATGTTCTGTCTGAAAAAGTGGAGCTCTCTTACTTAACATGCATTATTAAAGAGATGCAGCTACAGATTGATGAATTAAAAACGAAATTAAGTTCATTTGAATGTATACCCGAAACAATCTCACTTATGAAAAAGGAACTGCAGGATCCTACAATCCTAAAGCTTTTTAATATGACCTCTAGAATGACGCCTACTGACTCAGAAAATGCGAAGGAGCTAGAAAACGCCATTGACTTTCTATCCAGCGAAGTTGTTAAAAGGCTGGCTTCGAAACAAAACGCTATAGTGTATAATGTACCAGATAGCGAGCCCATTAAGTCGGTCCAGCACTCATTGCTGAAGGCTGCAAATCTCTTGAGTGCACCTTGTCAGTGCATTCGCCTAAGTAAGAAAGACCTAAAGCATCCCTGTCCTATACTCTTTAGGTTCGACAGCTACATAATAGCTGAACGATTTAAGAAGGCCGAAGATCTTCTGGCTACTGCCACTAAATTCAAGACTATTAAAGTAGTCTCGGATAAAACAACTAACCAAAGGCAAGCAACCAAGAACTCCTTCGATAGAAAGTTGACCACACCGAGAACTACACCTGGTATCAGTGCTAAAGTGTCGACGGACACTGAAGCACAGCAAGTCACCTGTATAGTGTTGGAAAAAAAATCGGCAAGTAAAAGCGACTCGAAACTCAGTAAGAGCAGTGTCACTGGGTGCAATCCTAAAGTACATGAGAGCACATCTGGAAAACCTGCTGACACACATGAGGTTGATATTGACTCACAAACTATGTCTGACCAGAAACCACTGGCAGACCACACTCAATCTGGATGCAAGCCCGAGAGTCCCGCAGTAGAAACTGCAAGAAAGACGACAAAGCCTAGAGTCCCACTCCAGACTTCGACTTACCTCCCTCTCAATAAGTCTAATAAGCAACATGTCAGTCTAAAAAAAGACAATGCATGGGTAAAAAACCATATTCCCAAAAAAGTCATCCATCATGTGAATGGGAACACCCCTTCCCGAACTAGGAGTAATATACCTAGCAACGCACATAACTTGGGAATGCAACGTAGAACGGATCATCAGGATATAAGGAGCACTAAACGGGGCTCGTATAGGCACCATATTAATACATATTCTTGTCCAAACTCTCACACTATCTATGTTGAACCTCAGCAACATAATGAGTATAGATCGACACATGACCCTCACAATAACTTCACTCACACATGTGATGTGAGCCAATATGCATACGACTATGAAAGACCCATGAGGTACAGCTACCAAGGTAATCTTAACACAGGGTACCTAGGTCAAGCAAACTATATATCACCAGCAAATGAACGCAGATGCCCACCCATGGATGCTAAAAGTCAAAACATGCAACAGGATTATTTTCGGATGCAGCAAACAATAGCCCCACTCGCTGCACAATTCATCCAGGAAATAGTACACACACTGACTCTGTCTCACCTCAGAGCCCCTCCAAACATAACGTAGGGATAGAAACAAGTAACCATGTTAACCTCTCCTCCAATAACTCCGGTTTACTAACGATTATGCTCCTGAATGCTAGATCTCTCCTTAACAAAATAACATCGCTTCGCTGCCTGGCATACATAGAACGGCCAACACTAATAATGGTGACTGAAACCTGGCTTACTACTGATATACCTGACTCAAAGCTACTAATAGACAACTACGACATCTATAGGAACGATAGAGTTGACAAAAGAGGAGGCGGCTGCTTAATATATGCCTCTAAATCCACTAACTCCAATGCTTTCAATAACCCAACTACTGACAAACTCCCTGAATCTAAGTGGATAAGCATCCACACAAACGAAAATAAAATTCTCGTGGGATGTTTATACAGACCCCCTAATAGCCCTGAAATGACTGATATAGCTATTGGAGAAATACTAGAGCATGCAGCTACGCTGGACTTTGACTACAAAGTAGTTTGTGGCGATTTCAACCTACCTGGAGTAAACTGGGATACCTGTACAGGACCTAGAATCCATGACGAGCTACTACAAGCTATAGACGTAGGCGGATGGAAGCAGTGCGTACGCCTCCCTACAAGAAATGAAAACACTCTTGACTTAATCCTTTGTCATGAAATTGAGCCCATCTCGATAGAGGTAGGAAATAAACTTGATAACAGTGATCACAACATATTGTACTGCACGCTACCATTCCGACTAACAACTAAACACACACCTAAAAATTCCCCGGTGCACTATCAGTATAGGGACTATAAGAATGCCGATTGGGAATTCCTATCAGATCTGCTGAGAAGTTCTGACTGGGAAGAATACTTCATTAACAATAACTTAGAAGTATCACTCGATATTTTCTACAAAACAATTGGCTCAGCAAGAGACATAATCGCGCCCCTAAAATCTGCTCTAAAGACACCAACTCCATTTATAGACCGCAAAACGCGACTAAAACTAAAGAAATTGAAAAGGAAATACCATGTATTTAAGGAATTTAATGCGTTAAACCAAATACATGAAACTCTCAAACGGCTCGAAGATAAACACAAAATGAGGTCACAACTTGAAGAAAATAAAGCGCTTGTGGGCAACTCCAAAACTCAGGAACTTTGTAGGATATTGCAGAAACGTCTAAAAAGCAGTAAAGACAATACTGTAAGCAGCTTGGAGCATAAGGGTATAATACACAATGATCCCCAGGTTATCAGTGAACTCCTCAATGAGTGGTTTTGCAATGACGCCAGAGTGCACCCAACCCCAAATTTCCAAATGACTTGCAAAAGCAACCACAAATTAGGCGGAATAGACTTTAATATACAAAATATAGACTCAGCGATTAAGACTTTGAAGTCTAATGGTAGTACTGGAACAGATGACATACCATCTGTCATGTACAAAAATGGTAGCACGGAAATGGTAGTCTTGTTACTTAGAATATTTACTCTCTCATTAGAAACTGGAACTTATCCTGAAGTGTGGAAAACCACATACATATTACCTAAGCACAAAGCAGGGGCCAAAACCAGTGTATGCAACTATAGACCTATCAATATAACACCGGTAATATCCCGAATAATGGAGAAAGTGGTTAAAGAACAAGTGTCAGACAACTTATTAGAACATGAACTTATCAATCCATCACAACACGGATTTCTCAAAAAGAGATCATGCGTGACCTGTCACATAGACTTTTTCAATGAAGTTACACGAAGTAGGGACAACAGAGAACTAGTAATTGTGCTCTATTTCGATATAACAAAAGCCTTCGACAGAGTTCCCCATAATCTGCTAGTCAGCAGGTTATGCTCACTAGGGATATGTGATCCTCTCCTGAGCTGGATAAAATCATTTCTCTGTGGCCGAAGTCAGACAACGAAAGTTGGCTCCATAATCTCAAGGCCTAAACCAGTAAGTAGTGGTGTAATCCAGGGAAGTGTATTAGGCCCACTCTTATTCATAATATATATAAACAGTATCTGTGAATGCTTTAGTGTAGGTAAACCAATACTATATGCAGATGACTTAAAAGTGACATATAAATGCAAGAACACAGATCTTGGAATAACAGTAAACGCCATACAGCAAGAATTAGAAAAAATGGATAGATGGTGTGACACCTGGCAACTCCAATTTAATGTCGAAAAATGTGGCTGGCTCTGCATAGGTTGCAACAACTTAGAACTTGACCTGACAATTCAAGGCCATGCACTTCAACGACTGGAATCTGTACTGGACCTAGGGCTGAAATATTCACATAACTTATCATTTTCTGAACACATCTCCAAACAAGTGTCAAAGTCACGCAGACTTATCGGCTTTCTACTCAGGAACTTCTACAGAAATGAGTCTAGAATTCTGTTGTACAAGGTTTGTGTGCGTCCTTTATTCGATTACTGTTCATTCATGTATAGTAGCATACGCATAGAGGACAAATTGAAAGTCGAGGGAGTGCAGAGGTACTTCACGTTAAAATTACTCGGAACCGGAAATGGTACGAACTACTCCACTAGATGTGATACCCTAGGACTAGAAACACTATGGCTAAGACGCCTGAGACTAAACTTGACACTTTACTATAAGCTTCTAAACCACTTAGTTTTTACCTCTACTAATGGCACTCGACTTTCAGATGACAATGGCTACAAACTAAGACACACTAAGGGTACAGTAGCTATCGAACAATGTAAAACAGCCACCAGGCAAAAGTTTTACTTGATTAGGTATGCACAGATATGGAATAAACTGCCAATGGAAATGCGTCAAGCAAGTACATTGGCCTCCTTCAAAAAGGTGCTTAATGACAAACTACAAGAGTTTGCAAACGATATTAGTTCTAGTTCCTATATGAGAGCCTCCGAAATTATAGGTCCATTTAATGTCTAAGCTTAAATACTACACCTGTTGTTTTTTGCCTATATTTATAATTCTAGATAAAACATTAACGGTTAAGATACGTATCCTCAAACAGACAAGAAATCTCGTTTGTAAAACTACTACCCAACACAATAAGTGGAATAAAATGGACATAAACCGACAACATGAAAAAGGTATAACTCACCACAACATCACAAGGACAGATGAACGCTCGTTGGGCACCATATATCCGTCACCAACTGCAACCCACCTTTCCTTAGATAATGTGATGAACTTATACCCATAATGTTGCTGAGCAGTTAATATTCTCAACTCCTGTCGGAACAGTTGAAATACATAAACCTTCCTCACGCTAAGAAAATACCCGTAATCAGTAGAAATCCATTAATTAATGCGTCCGAAGCTTATGTACTTACTCCCAACAATGAGATTGCAGATCAAATGAGATAAACACATCACTGATTTCAAAATAACACATCAATGAACTATAATTCGAGGACTCTGCACACAACAAAGTTATGTATGAATATTTACTTCAAGCTTTATTTTTTTCCCAGGCACTTATAATCCATCCACCAAAGACCTGGTTTTTTTGTTAATGCGAAGACAATACTCCTGTATTTCCTGTTGTGTTGCACTCACTGACAATCTAGCAGATTTTTCCAACTTTGCACAGAAATGATTGTATATAAGTGAAAAGGCTGTTTTATACTACTGGAATTAACATTTATCAAGTGTATGTATAATCTCCATCGAACATGTAAAGCATATCTTGCTACTGGCTGTAAATTGTGATTAAATTATATGGTTCTATTTCTGTAACAATTTGATGATGCCTGTAAACTGGCGTCCCTCATGTACTGTACTATGAGAATAAATTTATTTATTTATTTATTTATTATATCGGTTTCAAGGGTTTGCGTTTCAGGTGAAGCATGTCGAAATATCGCCATATTGAGCAGCACGAATCGCTGGAGGGTGATATCTTCCACATGAATAGTCTGCTTTATGTAGTAGCTGAACTTTTTGACAATTAATACAATAATAACTAGTGTTCTAACTAACCAGTAATTCTATATGTATTTCAACCACAAAATTCCAATAAAGCAAGAAATACCCAGTTTCCTTTATGAAACGACAATAGTATATTTCACAGGTTCTCAACGGCTGCAGACTACTTAAAATTAAGTGGTCATTAAAATGGTTACAAAAAGTGAGAATAATGTCCTTTGAATGTTGACGCGGAGAGATCTTTTTCAGTTTAGGGAATCCAAAATCAGAAATACTGAAAAACAAACATCACAATTTCTGGCTGAAGTCACTGACTGATATGTATTATGAACCTGAAATAACAACCGAAACAACCACAAATAAGCATTAACTGAGGAGATTCGAAGGAAGTTACTTCTTTCACTTACCTAGATAACATCGTTTCATCTAAAGGCGGAACGGATAAGGATATCAAAAGTATGGTCGGAAAAGTAAGACGGATATGGATTGCTCTGAAATCATTATGGAAGTCTGCTTCTCTAAGTCTAAGGAACAAGATTCGGATCTTCAACTCTAATGACATGTTTGTGCTTCTGTAAGCTTTAGAGACTTGACGTACCCTAGAAAGCTTTTCCAACAGACTGAAGAATTCCATCGACAACTGTCTTGTCTCAACAATGAAGATCGGACAGTTATAAAGGATAGGTGACGGTGAACACTGGTAGGCAGTGAACCAGCCTTCAACTAAGGAAGTTCACAAACCCAGAGATCATCGTATGTAATCCGGTTTGTTAATTGTCTCGCAACATAGTGAATGGCTGTTAACATTGGCTTTACTATAGACAGTTCTAAGTATTTGGATCGAGTATATTAAGCAATTGCAATCACAGATAATACTCACCCTTTTGAGGCTTCTGATTGCTTTCGGGTTTCTCTTTGCTCCTAAAAATACATTCAATAGCATCATATTCACGCTTCAAATGTGGTTCATCTCTGTTTAATTTAGATTATATCACAACATACCAGGTGCTTGTATTCACCTTCTCAAAAAACCTCAAAGCTTTCTAAATTGCAGCCCAGGTTCTAAATTTCCTTGGTCTGATGCGTACTTCGAAAGCCTTGCTAATATTAACTATGGCCATGCCTTCTTCATCCGATCGACTTGTAGATTATTGCATGTTTTGAACGTCAACGTGAAAGACATTTTTTCCCCAGATTTCTACATATTAAGTAACCTTTTGAACCAGCAACAATAACGAAAACCGACAAATCAACTAGAAACAACAGCTTATACAACCAAAATATGTCCATTTGCATACTTTCCAAGACTTCTTCGTATAGTACTTCATTAACACCTGAAAAATACCTAGAATACTGCAACGAAAAATGAAAACAACGTATGAAACTGTTACTTTGGAATGGATGAACTGACCTGGTAACAAAAACTTTTGAAACGTACGAAACAACCGATTTTAATGGTAAGAAAAACCGAAACGAGATAAAACGCAACAATTATGCGTGCGTTCACATTTCTTTTCGCTTCGAGTTTGCCGTCTCTGGAACGCTTTACCGGCTGCCGTCACTATAGCGCCATCTCTGGAGACTTTTAAGCGGAAGTTGGACAATCATGCAGAAATGCAAGGTTTCTGACTCAATGGCCTATCCACACTGTCAATGGGTAAGCATACAGACTGAATCCCCATGAACCGTTTTGTCTTTTCTCACTGTACCGACTACTCTATCGTTTCCTTAGGTCACCTTTATTATTTCACTTATCTCAACCTATATTATCTACACTACAACCTATTATTATTATTACTATTCTGCTTTTATGACTACACCGAATGACCAACGGGAGTTAGGTAAAACTCCATTCACGGCGCAACGCAATCCTAACATACTGCATACTAAACCACATTTTGACCAATCCCCGCACCACTCCTCTAGGAGTCTACCAGAGCTAAAGCAGTCGAGTGGCGGACTTATACGCAATTCACCGAACTGCTTTAGATATGATCTACATCGAGATAAGTTACGAATAACATCAGGATAAACGTAAAGTTGAACAACAGCAGTTCAACAAGGCTGACCGACATGGACAAGAATGAATTTAAGGCGCTTTTCTGTCAAGTAGGCTCAGGCATATGAGATAATTTGAGCACCAGAGATCCGAAACAAGAAAATATTGGATATTGGACGTTTAGGACTTATTTTTCGAGCAGTGCGTTACACAAACGCAAAGGTAGCGTTTTTTGAGCTTGGATTGTGTTAGGATTGTGTTTTAGAATTAATAAAATTATTAAACATTTATAATTATGAGGAAAAATATCTTTTCTTTGTGAGCAGTGAGTTTTAGATCACAAACAATTGTTTCGGATCACATCAATAGTTGTCTATGCTTCAGAATAACTACAGATATTTTTCGTAAATTTGGGATGGAGTTTTTTCATCTTTCTATTACTGCTATTCAGGACCATATGCTTAGAGCATTTTTGGAGATTATTCAGTACAGGAATCGCAAAAATCCCAAGCTTACTGTAATGCTGAATTAAATCTCTAGAGTTATTTCAGGACATAGTAGGTAGGTAAAATCTTCATTTACTATAAAAAGGCATTATCGAAGAATGGGTTTGAATAAGTTTAGAATTGCTGTAAGCTTTGGATGCCACGAGAATCACTTGTTTAGATAAACAAGTGTCGATCGATAGTTGGGACGTCTAAGTAATACGAATATATAGCTCTTCTCAGTGATTTAAGGTGATAGGTTAAGTGTTAATGAACGGAATATTTGCGAGGTATTTTTCAATGACTCCCGAAGCTTACAACAATTCTAAACTTATTCTAACCTACTCTTCGATAATGCCTTTTTATGGTAAATGAAGATTTTATCTACCCACTATGTTCTGAAATAACTCTGGTCGTGCTTAAAAAGAGAGCTGGGTGCTGAATTAAGTCTTTTCGTTCTGAAGTAACGCTAGTCCGTGCTTAATATGTCCCGTGAGGGCTGGAAAAACGCTGCTAAGCAAACCCAGTAGGTTCTGATTTACTCCTGAAAATGCCTAGAAAAAAGGACAGGGTGCTCAATTAGTGCCAGTAATGATGAAAACCAGCACTGAGTTCTTGTCTGTGCTCTTAAACAAACCATTTCAGAACAGATCCTGAATTTACTCACTATAGAATGTTAGCGTTAGTTCAAAATTAGCGAGAATTAATTCAGCATTATAGTAATCTTGGGTCCTGACATAGGTGACATTTCGATTCTTTGCAGTAGTTCCTTTTTCTTCATTAATATCTGCTTCAACCGACCCTAAGTGGAAGGGCGTCTAAAAGGGTGACAAAAAGTGGATGCTCAATGGACCGAAAGAGGAAATAAAGAAGACTTTTTCAAGAATTCCCCACCCCCACTTTTCCTAGATGACGCATTATATTCCCCTTTTTACGCATTATTTTTACGCTTTTTGTCATCATCATGTCCCTTTTTCTCTCTCCGCCTGATTTCATCCTCGAACTTTCCATAAACCCTCCTCTTGTTTGCAATGTATTTACCATTCCAAGTTAAATTTCTCAACTTTAAATCTTAGAAAATAATGTTGATAATAAGTTAAATTCTGTATGTCTTTGTCAGCATTACAGAAATCTAAACGGGGTCTTGCCAAACCAAAGGTATGAAAATTGGTCGAAACTTTTGCGCAAAATATTATAAGTGCAAAATGTGATATACATTAATTTCAACGGGTAATAGATAGTGAAAACTGATATAAAGATAAATTTTAGACTCTGTGTTAGAATCGAGTTCGATTATAGAATGATTTTGTTTGACATAACATAATATTTTTATATTATATAATTAAGAGAGTCCCTTGAATCTTAAGTTTCAAAAATTGTATGATTGAACTGTTTATTTCACTTATCTTCCATTACAGTGCAATGTTTTCGTCAAATTATGACGGCTGTGATTCTGATAGCAGTTCATCCAGGTAATTTCTTGAAGCGAATAATATTTCATGTCATTTTCCTTTTGAGTGGCACAAATGATGCTAATTATATCTGTATAACCGAAGATACGAAGATCAAGGCCCGGGAATTCGAGGAGCTGATGGAACGAGAGCTTGATGCATTAGTCAGGCAAGCTCAATATAAACATGCAGATTCGAAAACTGTCAGTCAGAAAAAAAATCTTAAAGTAAGGTTTCAAAAGACTGATGCTGATTATGATGAAGGTATATCTTTTCAACAGTCGTTTCATTTCACTAAAGATAATGTTCCCATAGACAAAGATCCTTTATGTGATTATGAAGAAGATGAAGCTAATTTAAAATGGGTTCAGGAAAATCTTCCTGGCGGCCAGTGTAAAAATTCAGATGCTGTCCTTAACTGTCCTGGATGTATGTCTGTATTGTCTTTGGATTGTCACAGGTAATTCTTGTAGCCTTTTCCAAATTTATCACTTGTCAACTATTGTAATGAAACAACAAAAAATTTATTATATGCTTTTTTATGGCAGATAGCCAACACAAAAGTGATATTCACTTCCTCCTTATATCAAACACCTCGTCTAAATGAAATGTAGTTTTGGCAACTGATGTCAATAAGATTAAAACTGCACATTACCTAATTATTATAATTAAAATAAGTAACATGTCAACCTTTAAGATCCGTAAATTGCCATTGCAGTACGATTCGTAACCTTTTCACCATACCACGAAATTTTATAGCCCTTGTTTTGGTGGTGGAAAAAAGAAGTTAAGATTGAATAAAGATAGTAGCAATATGACACATCTTATGATTCGAGTTTTTAAACAACATTTGAGATGAAACCCGTATTCAGATAATGAATGCTACTAAATATTCAATCTTAGCAACTTCTAAATTTTCAATGAATTTAATACCTCTTTACATGATGTATACTGTTGGTTGATGGTTAGTTACTGAAAGCCCCACAACCACTAGTGTTGCTCTCCAGTTCTGACCGCTACATTTGTATTCACAGCCAATATTATTTGTTAATATATATTGTACCGACTTTTCGTGACGCAATGCACTCCCAAGAAAATCCCTTGTCAGGCTGCTATTGAATTCTCCTTGATGTTTCCTTTCTCATTTATTGGTTTGTTTGCTGATTCCTAGTGTGCAGTTATAGAATAAAAGGGTAATATTAAGGGGGTAGATGTATTATCCTTAATGGGCTAACAGGTACCAATATCTAAGGAGAAATTATAACAAAGTCGTCTCAGGCATGTTCTGTCAAACGAATTAGTCTAAATCTCTGAACACTGATGGCAAGCTAACAGTAATGATAAAGCTTAACTGTCTTTATGACCCATCCAGACTATACAAATAAAGTCTTACCATATTAGGACTGTAAACCATCAGAATCATGATAGAATAATTCCACAGTTAAAACGATATAATGGCGATGGTGTTTAGAGAGATACACTCTGTACTTGACGTGTCTTTTCCACAATGACAGAAAATACTGGAGCAATACTATCTGTATTTCTAAATCTTGCTAATTTTTAACTACTACTCGAAGTGAAGATAGCATTATTTCAGGTGGGACAAATTGTGACCATTGAAATCAGGCAAAAGTAGCAGTTAGTCTTCCTCAAACTTTCGTCATACCAGCATAGTAGTTAGTGCTTTCATGTGCGACTCCTATAATCTCTGTGGTATAATTAACTTTTCAATAGACAGGTCTTCTCAGTTTGCAGCGAAATAATACCAAATGTATACCTGTTATACAACTAGGTGTAATTTTATACTTCAGCATCTGCGTCGCTGGAGGCAATTTCAGTAATTTTTGAAAAAATTCCTTAACTGTTAGACAGGAGGTGCTACTGTTTCAGGGAACATACTATTCTAACATTTATATTGTGACTAGAGATGGTCTGGCTTAAATAAATATGCTCACGAAAAGAGACCAAATAATCTAAAATATATCTCAGTCCTGTGGATTGTTGTCTGTTTACACTTAGAGTTGCAGCTACGTTCTAAATGATATCTGTTTCTTTTAATTGCAGACACCCGCATTTTAAAACACAGTACTATACAGAATATCCTATTAATTGTGTTGTGGATGAAACACAAGTCATTTCTCGAAATATATCAAAACCCCACAGAAAGAGTAAATCTAATATCGAAGATGACTCGGAATCGCGGCGAAATATTTCAAAAGAATATCACATAGTCAATTGCAAAGTGTGTGGCAATTCAGTTGGACGTCAAGAAATCAAAACAAATGTGATATATTTCAATAATGTGCTAGCAGGTCATAGTTAAACAAGGTCGCTATTTGTACAGAATGCTGTATAATGCTACTTGATTATATTAAGTAGTATAATGTAAATAACTCAAATTTTCGTTCCGTTTGTATATAGATGAACTGTCTATATTTTAACAAATAAGTCAATAAAAACATTTGATACAACTTAAGTTTTTTATTATCTTAGTAAAGTTATAGGATTGAATACTGTAAGTTATGCCGCAGTTAAGTAAGCTACTGCACTATACTCTCGTTGTTATAACGTATGTGCATTAGTAAGAATGTAAAAACAAATCTACCTCCAAAATTAAAGAATAGCCTACCCCGTATAATTGTTGGTTTGACTTCCTTCATGCAGTCGTCAGATTTCTGATGGCAGTCTAATATTTTTGTGCATTGAAAGTTCAATTGTTAGTAAAGAAAATGAATAATTTTAACATTTGGATTCCCCAAACTTGTTCTAACAGTCTTGTTTTGTTTTAAGTTTGTTGAGAAATATAAGCCTCAAAATATTGTATATCATCTAGTAAATGGTCAAATTATCTTAGACCGCTAGTTTTGATGTGGGTTTGAACATTTACAAAAACAAAAATACTTTTTCAGTTGGGAAATACCACTGTTTCCTAGAACTCCTAGTGTTATTTACAGCTAGTATTAACTTGGAAAATCGATTTTCCCTTAGTTAAGCTGTTCAGATTCTTGAAAATACTGCAGAACATCGCTACAACTGATGTGTACATCTTTGGTATACCGACTTGATCATCACTGAAGTGTCTCTTGGTTGAGGTTCACTGTTATTTACCACATTAACAGTTGATAAATTGTTTGCACTGGCTCTTACCTCATAACGTGTATCTACCATCTATGTAAATAAGGTTAAATATCTGAGACAAATTCTAATGAATCTAATAACTACTGATTTATAGACAGTGTCAGCAGACAATGTTCCGTAAAAATGACTACAATACATAAATTTCGTTATCACTATTATTCTTTTTTTTTTTACTCTGATATTTCTTTAAAGTTCACCTTGTGTTATTTTTGTATATTATGAGGGCTAACTAATTAAACCAATCGGTTACAACACTAAATCATAATGACAATAACATCTGTATCCTGAAAAATGTGTTTATGCGTATTATTATTTTGGAATAATTAGTACGTTTTGTCTGGTGTGAAGTATTCACTCCTTGTGTAACATCTTCAAGTAAGTTATTAATCAGTCATATATCATTTGAAGTAATATCGTTGATAATAGATGGTTGAAGGCAATCGCTGAGAAGCCTTGGACCTAGGTTTCGTGCTAGTCAGCACTCATCAGCAAGGCGTATCTGCAACCATGAAGGAACTCATGTCCTCCAACCATCTAATATCAACAGTTCAAAGTGCACCGTGATGGCGAGCCACCAAGAATGGTGGCCGCATTATCAACGTGACTGATAGAATTCAGTCTGAACTAAACAAAGGACTAGACACATCACACCATTTACTAACTAGTGTCCAGTGAAAAGTAAGTAATATCGTTCTATCCAAAACACTCTCTAATAACCTGCAATTCATGACAATAGGGTGAGCCCTATTTGAAAATAGCATTGCAAGTAAATAAGATGTATTCTGATAGATGGCGAATTAGGTAGCTTGGCAATTTAAGCAGGCTATCAGGTATAAATATATACTATCAAATGGTATTATGAATAGCCTAATTGCTTCTGTTAGATGATAAAAGTTGTTCATGATACTTTTAAAAATATGGAAAGTAATTGACAAAAACTATGAGGGAGTATATATATTGTTACTGTAAGTGCAAGTATTTTTCGCTTTGGAAATAGAGGTTTAAGAAAACCTTCATCACGAAGTAACATCAACTATCTACACACTTAAAGCTAAGAAATTCTGGAGTACTGTTTTTTCGTGGTTCAGAATAATTGAGTCCTTCAAAATCACGACACCGCAATTTATAGGGCTCAAGGTCGTCAGGTGTACTGACAACCACATTACGATTTAGCGATGACCAGGAATTCGATAACCTAAACCTTATTGCTGGTGTAGTTTCTTTTCGCAGCGTTGCATCAGTTAAATTCCATCGATTTACGATTATGTTTACCTCTGAATATGTAGCCTCTACTCGGTAAATTATATGTCGCCTCCATACATGAGTGGTAGGTATGTTGTTATGGATTAACATCTTGAAGTAGTTAGGTTTATTTTAAGATGTACAATAGTAGTCTGCATTGATGCATCTTAGCTGAGTTTCAAAGTGCATGAGAGAGCTGTTTCCCTCCAGTATGCAACTTTAAAGAATGCTTAGTTAAAACGATGACTAATGCTCGACAGAGACCATTCTTGATATAAGTATAAAACTTGGGCACTGTGGTAGAGCATAACTCCATTATAGATAAGATTTTATTATGATAAATCACACAGTGTTGTACAGTAATATTAATATCAGTTAATATTACTGTGTAACAGTGTGTGATTTATCAAAATAAAATCTTATCTATAATGGAGAGACCATTTTCCCCATTTATTTCATCTTTAATCTATTTATATCAAAGCAGAAGAGAAAATCACATTTCTGTTAGAATAAATTAGTTGATAAACAAAAAAATAACTCAGTGACATGAAAAATTCTACGCATTATCACAATTTTCAATGATTTTGCATTCTTTGAGAATTTCAGCTCATTTCTCAATAATGATTGATCATAGTGGTGCTATTGTCTTCTGAAAATCAATTTTATTGGCACTTTAAATAACAACAACAATAATAATAATAGTTTAAGGTCACTCACTGTTTGTTCTGACGCAATCTTCTCCATCGATAAATATGGAGTGTACTTTGTTTGTATAATATGAGACTTTCTATGCACTGAACTGACGTATGTATCTAGTTGTTTTTAGAAGGAAGGATTCAGAGGATATATATATATATATATATATATTGAGATGATGGTAGTTTCAGTCACATTTATGACTTCATCTCTTCTCTTCAAACAGCTACCAGTTTTCGGAGCAGTTATTTATTCTATGAACTATGTTCTCGAACTTATTATTATTACTGTTCCCTTGGGTTCCTAGTGGAACATAGGGCTTCAACTGCGAGTAGATTATTGTCTCTCCAGTTGGTAGTTGGCACCTTCCACATCCGTTCCATCTGCTCTCGCAGATTCCCAACACTTCTATTTTATATCTCCTCATTCCTGCGGCTACCTGAGCAGCCTTTCCAGTTTCGTACATTGTACGAATATTCCACGTCCCCATCCTTATTTTTGCTTTCATCGAAAGAAGGCACATCGACTGACTGGCTTCCCGAAGGCTTTTACCAGCCTGCGTCATTTCACTTCCCCGATTCCAGCGAAAAATAAGGTTATTGTTTATATTTTAGAATTTTTAATATATTTGTGCGTTGAAGTTTCTGTAGCAATTTGGTTAAGTTTTGGGGGTGGAGTTGCTAGCACCACACCCCAACCCTCCCTCTTTATCCGGGCTTGGGACCGGCTAGAAAACTAGTGAGCTAGTAATCTAGGCAAGGTTTGGCTCTCTCGCCGGGAATCGAACCCGGGCCGCCTGGGTGAAAGCCAGGAATCCTAACTTAGGCAAGTAAATCTTGATTCAATATGAACAGAAGTTGACTTCAGAAATTATGATTTAGTTTGACATTCCTAAAGGCTTATTAGGATGGACAGTCTTGTTTATTAGCCATGAAATCACGATTTATGCGTGTGGTGGCACAGTGGTCAGGACTCTCGCCAACCATGCACACATGGTCCGGGGTCCGATCCCCTGGCGACGCACACCTGATGTCAATGGTCGGCCTGCAAAATTTGGGCTGCCGATATCACATGCTGAAAATTTCATACTTGTACCAAAAATACGGTGTGGAATCAAGCTATAATAAAAAAAAACAGAACGATAAATAACATAATTGGAGAGTGTCGATTCGTTTATTATTGGCTTAATTTTCAGAGGTCAGGCAATCAAATTCCTGAGGGTTACCAAAGATGATATACCATTTATTTTGTGTAATAAACGTTATTGTGGTTGTTGTTATTATTATTGGTTTTTCGTTTTTCCCAGTCTGACATTTTTGTCTACCTTAGTGTTATCGAGGCGCATTCCAGTCAAGTTAGATGCACTCACAAGTCAGTAACACTCCATTATAATGGGACTTGATCCATCTACATGCAGCATCATTATTCTGTCATGTTATATATCTAGGTGTGCTTTAAGATATATGGTGTTTCCTGTAAACAAGTATTATGTTGCCTTTGGAAGGGTAATGTGAACTCACTTCGTGTTTTACTAACCTCAAGAAACTAGTTGGGTAGTTTTTTAATACAAAGAACACTAGGGAATGTTCTGGACCACAGACTGCATCGAAGCTGCTTGTCTCGCAGCACTTAACTTTACAAAGTTACCACACTATGAACAGTCACACCATCCTCTCTTTCAGTTACCGCTTTTGAACAGATGTATAGTCATGTCAGCATACTGCACAATGCTAAGACAGGCGCTAAATACTCAGGACGATGTGTTAAATCCTACGTACAGATCTCCTTGCTCACAAGTGCTGTTGTATCGTATATAATATCATACCAAGATTTACTTGCCAGATTTCGGGAATATAGTTCATAGAATAAATAGCTACTCTGAAAACAGCTACCAGTTTTCGGATAAACAAATTAGTTTGAAGAGAAGAGATGAAGTCATAAATGTGACTGAAACTACCATCATCTCAAATATATATATATATTCCTCTGAATCCTTCCTTCTAAAAACAACTAGATACATACGTCAGCTCAGTGCATAGAAAGTCTCATATTATACAAACAAAGTACACTCCATATTTATCGATGGAGAAGATTGCGTCAGAACAAACAGTGAGTGACCTTAAACTATTATTATTGTTGTTGTTATTTAAAGTGCCAATAAAATTGATTTTCAGAAGACAATAGCACCACTATGATCAATCATTATTGAGAAATGAGCTGACATTCTCAAAGAATGCAGAATCATTGAAAATTGTGATAATGCGTAGAATGTTTCATGTCACTGAGTTGTTTTTTTGTTTACCAACTGATTTATTTTAACAGAAATATGATATACTCATTTAATGGATTGGAAATTGTTTGTGAATTATTTAAGAGAACACATATCTCAATCTATA